CCCAGGCCCAGCCGGGTTGAACCCCCCCAGCCTGCACTGGAGAAGGAGCCGAGCCTCATCCCCTGCCTCTGCAGGGCAGAAATCTGCACCCGCAGGCGGGTGCTGCTGGGGAAGCAGTTTTTGCAGCCAGAAACGCAGGGGAACAAGCCCTGGGGTACTGCCAGCGTGGGCAGCTGCTTGGGCCATAGGGCATCCCTCCAGCCCCGGACCCCCCACCACCCCAGCACTCCCCTTGTGGGAATGGGGAGGGCTTCCCTCCCAAATCTCTCCCCGCCTGCCCCGTGTCCCTGCACCCCAGCCCTGCTCCGGCTCGCCCTGTGACAACCAGAGTGGTGCCACCCTTGCCAACAGTCCCCACGTCCTGCAGAGCAGTGGCCTATGTCGGAGCTGTGGGGTCCCACGGTGGTCTCAGGGGAACCCGCAGCCTCACGAGATGTCTCTGCGGGCATGGACCTGGCCACTGGGGCAGGGGAATGTGTGAAGCATGGGGATGTGCTGCACACACTGGGTGACGGGGACAGCGCTGCAGGGCTGCCCTGTGCTCAGTGACAAAAGGAGCGGGCTCCACTTGTATTTCTAATTGCCCATCAAGTACTTCTTTCTCTACAAGCAACCAGAGCTGCATCAAACCTGCCCGAGGGATATTTGGCTTGACCAAATGCCTGTTCCCAGCCCACGGGAGGCACTTTTTGACCACCTGGGCAAAGCCATGGCCTCCAGACCTCCCCCAGTCCCTCCCGACTCAGGACACATACCAGTGCTGCCGGGTGATGGCGGATGCTGCCTGCCCCACGGCAATGCCCACCTGCGGACACCCTGCACAAGTGGGGGTATCCTGGACTTACACCAGCGCTTGAGAGCAGTGTTGGGCTTGGCTTTTCCTTTCCACCATCTTACTTGTTTTCATGCAGAGCCAACGGCAACTCTCACCTGTCCCGGGCCCTCCCAAACCACCTGAGCAGTGTGGCCGCCACTTACCGAGCACGGCATCGCGGGGACCGCCACCAAGCCTGCAGCAGGTTTGCAGCGACGCCGCTCAACAAGATGGGACGATGTTTTCTGGGGCGGATGGGAAGCCGGCCGACAAGCCGTTCCTGCTGGGGCGGAGCTGCCCCTCGCTGCTTATCGGCAACAACAACCCGTGTCCTTGGAGCGCTTCAAAAAATAACCCAATCCCAGAGGGACTGGAGGTGAGGCCAGAGGCAGCTGCCAGCGAGCATCCTGGCAGGGAAGCGGGGTCTCGGCCCCGGACATCCACTGGCCCTGGGATGGTGGCAGGGCGCTGCTGTCACGGGTGGCACCGGTCCCACACCGAGGTCAGCACGTTTGCTTGCAGCAGCCCCCCAAGAGCCCCCCTGGACTTTATTAAATTTCAGTGGGGAATGGGGCTAGCAAACGTTCCTCGCATGACCGGGCGCAGCTTAGCAAAGCAAAGCAAAGCCATGGGGAGGGGATCACCCTGGGACCATCAGCTGAGATGCACCAGGTGCTTTGCAGCCTGGGACATGCACCCAGCCAGCGGTGGGATGGCCAAAGGGACCCATGGGCCAGCTGGACTCCCAGGGAGCTTGCTGCCTGCCCAGGGGAGCAGCATACACCACCTTAAGGGCTGCCCTGCCAGGGCTGTATTGGAATGGGCTGGGGTGGCAGCGGCCATAGAGGCACCCCCAGGGGCAGGAGGAAGGACACTTACGTGCATTCAGCTGGACCGATGGAGCAGATGGTGGCACACGGAGAAACTCAGCTGACACAAGCCAGCAGCAGCCAGCTCTGAAGGGAGCCAAGTGAGCTCCCCCCCACCCCGGGGTGGAGCTGGGGAAACCCTCAGGGCCCTGCCCCAGGGAGAGGACTGCACAGGAGGCAGTTGGTGTCTCCATCGAGAAGCTTGCCCAGATCTCATCTCACTCTCCAAAAGCCATCCTGCTGCTGTTGGATGATGGCTGAGCCCTCCTGGGTCCCTCACCCCACGTCAGAAAAGCCCACTAACCCTCTCCCAGCCCCACCAGCCTGTATGGGCTTTCCTCAACATGAAAAAAAATCTCTTCGCAGATGAAATCAAGCGCGGCTCCCGTCCCTGCTGGGTCATTCCCCGGCTGCGCACCGCGGAGGAGTGAATGAACAACTCTTGGCACTGGGGCTGGACAACTGTGCTTTAATGGAGAGGTCACAGAGCAGCACCCAACAGCCCCGTGGCACAGTCCCATGTCTCCCGCCACCATGCAGGTCCCAGCCCGGAAGAGCATCCCATCATGTGCACAAGCGTGGGGCTGCTTGTGCCAGCACTGGCTCCTGGGGCGCTGTGAGCAGCCAGCACCATGGGGTGCACACCAAGTGTGTCCCTTGTCCCGTGGCAGCGATCCCCAGGCAGACCGGTGCTGCCACACCGTGCGCAGATGTGAGCTGGACTCTTCCATTGCCATGCCACGGCTGGAGGAGGCACGGCGGCCACTGGACACAAGTGCTGCTGCGGGACAGTGTGGCCCCTGCCTGTGATTTGCAGAGCAGCCAGCACTTGCTGACACCTCTCCCCCCCCCAGCATGCACCACCAGCATCCCCGCTGCCTGAGGGCTGCGAGCAGGCAGCAGGACCGGGCATACACACAGGGGGGCCACTCAGGGTGGGAAGAGGAAGAGGAAAAGGGAGGAGAGGATGTAGCTTTGCCAGGCAGAGCAGGGCCAGGCTGCTCACTAGCTGGTGGGGTAGGCACGAGGGTGTCGAGGCAGCGAGGACCAGCGATAGGGTGCAGCGGGAGCAGCCCAAGCATGCTCCAGCAGCCCCGGGGCACAAGGGTGGGAGCCTCTCCCAGCCCCTGGCAGAGAGCCCTTGCAGGGGGAAGGGGTGGCCAGCATGGCCAGGCAGCGGGTCCAGCTCTGTGCACGCTTCGCCCCCCACCTCTATAATTCCCCTGCAGCAGGGGCTGGTGTGAGCCCCCCTGCCACCCACGGGGTTGGGGCAGGGCGCTGCAGGCAGGCCGCAGGAGGGTTAGCACCAGCGTGAGGCGAGGGCTCAGGGGATCTGCTGCTGCACCCAGACGCCGGCACATGGCCCCGCGGCTCTCCTGGCAGGAGATGCACAAGCGCAAGGGGAGCAGGAGGTTGCTTGGGGTGAGGGAAGATTGCTGGCTATGCTCTGGCCCACGCTGCCTGCAGGCAGGGAGGGCAGCTTGGACGCGGCCAAGTCACTCAGGGTGTGCCACCGTAGCAGCAGCGCCAGGCCCAGGCAGCCCAGCCCCGCGGGGATCCCCACCCGGATGCAGGCGAGCTACAAAGCAGCACAAGGACACGCAGCTCTGCTGGGGGCGAAGGCGTTCACTCAGCTCCTGGCCCTGCATGACGGCTAGCAGCTGCCTGCCCAGGCAGGGGCAGAGTCTGAAGGCATGGGGTGGGGGGGAAGATGGGGAAGAGGGGCTGGGGGAGGGCAGCGGGCAGCGCAAAGGCAGGTACCGCTAGAGGGAACGATGCGAGGTCCTGTTGTTTGGGATAAGCCCCACCATGGTCTGGCGGTGGCTCCTGGCTCAAGGGGTCCCTCTCAACCCCCCCCACATCCCTGCTGCTGCCCCCCGGGCAGGGAATGGGCACAGAGACTGCGCTGGAGGCAGGAGGGGCAGCCGTGGAAGGTCACCCGGGGGGACACCCTGCCGCAGAGCAGGGACAGGGCAAAGCAGAGCAGGACAAGGGGACACGCAGCACGTGGGGTGATGCCAGGCTGTCCAAATCATCAAGGGCAGCTGATGCAGAGCTGCTGTCGTGTCCCTCGGCCCCGTGGGGAGGGGACACCCCGCCAGCACCGCTCCCCCCAGGGTCTGCCGGGCGCTCAGGCTTCGTTAGGTGCCTTCATCCTCATGAGCACAACATGGCTCTTCTTCCTACAGCCATAGACCACCAGTGCCACGAGAGCGGCGAGCAGGGCCACACACACCAGCACGATGACTGCCACCACCACCCCGCTCTGCATGCGCGTCAGCCCCCACTGCCCCCTCTCCTCCTCCTCTTCTTCCTTCTCCTCCTCCTCCTGGGGGGAGACCGGCAGCCCCATGGGGGGCTCCGTCCAGGCACCCTCTGGCAATGCTGCCTCAGAGGGGTGAGTGGGGAGTGGGGTACTGGGATGGGGGAAGGCAGTGGGGCGCCGGGGGGCAAGGAGCTGGTCCCGCGGCAGCCCAGCGATGGGGGTGCCCCGCAGGGTGGGGGGCTGGGCACAGAGGGGGGGTGTCTCGCCCACCTTGTGGGGGTTGTCCTCCAGCCAGCCCCGCAGGGACAGGATGCCCTCATCGCAGCGCCAGGAGTTGTTGGGGAGCTTCACCTCC